AGTGTATGTCATCCCAGCAGTTGACCTTTGGACATATCACAAGCAAACTGAAACACAGGAACACTTGTACCCCAGTGTTCAAAGTGGGATCACTTCTTAATAGTACAATGCATTATGATAATATTTATTCCCTCCCCTAACTCCCTCCAGATCCACCTCCTTATCCCTACCCACCCAACTTGGTGGCCTTTTTAAAAAAAAAAAAAACCCACTGTGGTGGTTTGAATAGGAATGGCCCCCATAGACTGGTGTGTATAAATACTTGGTCCATAGGGAGTGGCACTGTTAGGAGATGGGGCCTTGTTGGAGTAGGTGTGGCTTTGTTGGAGGAAGTGCGTCACTATGGGGTGGGCTTTGAGATCTCAGAAGTTCAAGCCAGTTCTTTTCCCGTTGCCTGTGGATCAAGATGGAGAACTCTCAGCTCCTTCTCTAGCACCATGCCAGCCTTCATGCTGCCATGCTTCTCACCGTGACAATAATGGACTAAACCTCTGAACTGTAAGCCAGCCCCAGTTAAATGCTTTCCTTTATAAGAGCTGCCCATGCTCATTGTGTCTAGCAATACAGACCCTAACTAAGACACTCATCAAGTACAAGTACAATTTATGCCGCCATGTGCTCATGGTCTTGGATATTTGGCTTTCATTGGAGGCTGGTCTAACCACCAGGGGTTACACTCTCAAAGAAAGCTCTCTCTCTCTCTCTCTCTCTCTCTCTCTCTCTCTCTCTCTCTCTCTCACTCTTCCTCTCTCTCTCCCTCTCCCTCTCCCTCTCCCCTCTCCCTCTCCCTCTCCCTCTCTCTGTCTCTCTCTCTCCCTCTCCCTCTCTCTGTCTCTCTCTCTCTCTCTCTCTCTCCCCTTCTCTCCTCTCCTCTCTTCTCACTCACTCTCTCTTTCCTCTCTCCTCTCCTCTCCTTCTCTCTCGACTTCCTGTCCTCTCCTCTCCGAGCTAGAATTTTATCTAGCCTGAGTCTGCATCAGTCTTGTCCATGACGTTAAAATGCTCTTCGTTCATATATACAGCTTCCCTGCCGTATGCAGAAAACACTGTTTCCGTACAGTCAGCCATCAATAATGACTTTTAAAATCTGAATGTGATACAGACATCCCACTTAGGACTGAGCATTCTGTAGTCTCTTATTCACTGCTCCTTGATCAGTTGTGGGTCTCTATGTTAACCACCACCTATTTCCAAAAGAAGCTTCTCTGATAAGAGCTCCTGGTACACGAATCTATGGGTGTAACAATAAGTCATTAGGAGTCAGTTTAATATCATGTACATTTAGCAGAATGATAGCAAGTTCTCCCCTAAAGGTCCATGGCCTATCTAGTCACAGATTCTTGGCCCCCCAGTAATGATAACAGGTGTGGGATTCATCTTGTGGAATCGGCCTGAAATCCAATGAAAAAGTGGTTGGTGACTCCCATACGTTTGTGGCACTCTGACACCAATAGGCATGTCTTGCCAGGCAGGTCATTGTTAGTTAGCTCAGAGGGTTCACAGTTGGGTAAGTCTGATGACTCCTCTTCTCCCCTGTTAGTGTTCGCAGCGCCTTCTAACACTGAAAGCTAGTCAGTAGGAATGAAGCTCCCAGGTTAATTAATGTCAGCTTGTTTTCTCCATGCTTTCCCACGAGGCAAAGGTATGGTGTCTGCAGCATGGCATCATTTTAAAGAATGGGTTAGACTTTCTGAAGTTTCCTTTTTAGGATGCTATGTTTCTTTTCCTTTTTTTCTTGGATTTTTCATGACAGGGTTTCTCTGTGAAACAACCCTGGCCATCCTGGAACTCACTCTGTAGACCAGGCTGGCCTGGGACTCACAGAGATCCACCTGCTTCTGCCTCCCAAGTGCTGGGATAAAAGGCATGCATGTTTCTAAGTTGTATTTTTATTTATTAGAATGTGCGTGTCTAACATGTGTGTGCTCATACTCACAATGGCCAGAAGAAGGTATCAGATCTCCTGGAACTCTAGTTATAGGCCGTGCTGGGAACTTGGGTCTTCTGAAAGAATAATACATGCTCTTAACCACTGTGCCACACACATCTCCACTCCCAAAGTGGCATCATTTGTAACATCCAAAAAAAGCCTTTGGGAGAGTAGTTTGGAACCTCACACAAGGGCTGTACCACCAAGCTACATTCCTAGCTTTAGAGCTTTTGATTTTTAAGTAAAGTAGTAGGTAAATGGGGTCCATACTGAGTCAGTGTTGGCAAACCCATGGAAATCACTGTTTGCTTTGAGATAGAGTCTCAAAACCAGGTTGGGTTTAAAGTCACTGAGATGTTCCTGCCTCGGCTTCCTGGATGTTTGGGGTCACAGGCATGGGTCTTCCTACGTGGGTACTTGAGTTATGAAGTGATCACACATCATCCTTGGATGCCTGGGCTGGCTCATCTGAAAACCTTGAGGCTCCCTGTTAATTTCCAGACATGGAGCCCCCATATTACAGGATTCTCAGAGGTCATCACCAGTCACACAGAGATCTTGCCTGTATACTTTGTAGAGTAACTCTTGTGTACCGAGTGGGACCTCAGAGGGCTTGAGGAAGAAACAGCCAGTAGGAGAGGGCGGTGAATTCTGGCACCAGAAAAGGACATACAATGGATGCTATTGAGGAGCAGGAAGGCCATGGAGCAGAGGAGGGAGTGGTGCCTGTGTTTGCAATGGGTGGAACAGCATGAGTTAGCCGCTGTGGCTGGAATGGAGTGTGTCAGTGTGTCAGGAGTCCTGGCCCCTTCTCCAGCATGACAATGTGGGCTTTAAATACCACTGCCCACAGTTAGATTTCCAGTTGCCCACAGGCTACATTTTTCAGTGAATGGTGGTGGTTCTCATCAGAGCTGCTTTTTCAATATGGGGGTGGGGCAGATGGCAAAGTGGAAAAGACTGAATGTAATTTTTTAAAAATAGAATAAAATGTGCATAACAAAAATGACCACTTGAAGCTGGTATAGTTGCACACAACTGCAATCCAGCTCTTGGGAGGTTCAGAGCTTTTGAGGCTGGTCTGAGCTACAGAGTGGAGCCCTATTTAAACACACACACACACACGCACACGCACACGCACACACGAACACGCACCCAAGCACACATGGGAGTGGACCCGTGGATGGTTGAGTGGTTAAGAGTGAGCACTGCTCTTATCAGAGGACCCAAGCTTGGTTCCTGGCACCCACATCAGGTAGTTCACAACCTCCTGTAACTCCATCTTAGGGCGATCTGAAGCCTCGGGCTTCTGTAAACACCTGCGTTCATGGGCACATGCCCACACACAGATTCACATGTTCATAATTAAAAATGAAACAAAGGAAGTAAAATGACCGTTTTAACCATTCAAGTGAACACAGTTCAGGGGCATTAAGCATGTACATACACAGTGTTGCACCAGTAACTTGACCGTTTCCTTATCCCAGATTGGACCTTTACCCATTAAACCATCCCTCCAACCCCCCAAAACACCCTTCAACTTTGTCTCTATCAGTTTGGTTGCTGTTCTTTTGTGACTGACTTATTGTCTTATTGTGGCATCCCTGAGGGATACCTGTGTGATAGCATCACTGGTTTTCTTCCTTTTATTGCTGAAGAATATTCCATTCTGGAACTATTCTATCTGGCATTGTATGGGTAAGCCCATTGTGCTTATCAACCCATCTGTCCCTGGACTCTTTGGCAGTTCCAAGCTCTTGGGTGCAGAGACCTCGTTGATTCATTCTTCTGTTGTTTTGTTTTTTGAGACAGGATTTCTCTGTGTAGCCCTGCCTGTCTTGGGACAGGAACCTAGGGCTTCCTCCCTAATAATAAGCAAGTGAGCTTCATCCCAAGCCTCTTATTTGTTTTTTGTTTGTTTTTTTGTTTTTCTTTTTGAGATGGGAGGGGGGGCCTCTCTTCATAGACCTGGCTGTCCTGGAAATCACTATTTAGAATTTCTTATTTGTTCTTTAAAGCAAGATATTCAGACCTGAGCAACAAGAGGTTTCTGGGAGGGTCTGGAGAGAGAGATGGCTTGGAGGTTGAGTACTGGCTGCTCTACCTGAGGTCCTGAGTTCAATTCCCAGTAACCACGTGGTGGCTCACAACCATGTCAATGAGATCTGATGCCGTCTTCTGGTGTATAGGCATACAGGCAGAGAGAGAGAGAGAGAGAGAGAGAGAGAGAGAGAGAGAGAGAGCACTTGTATACTGGAAAGTAGGAATAGCAAGAAGTATAAGAAGGATTCACTGGGAAGGGAGCCAAGGAGCCCTTGGGAAGTCCCGTGAGGCCATATGCTCTGGGAAGAGTCAAGGAGCAGGTACCTGAAGATGGCTGTCCCGAGGAGAAGGGGTCAAGGTAGACCTCTCACCCCATGAAGCTGGTCTTATTTACAGACAGGGATCCATGACTAGAAGGACAGCCAGGAGAGGGGCCAGCCATACAGCTGTTACTACTCAGGCCTGGAGATAAGTGACCTGGAAGTAGAAGCATAGAGCCTGAAGCGAGACCACACTCACTTTACAGCCACAATTGGGGCATAAAGCAGCTTCAAAGACATTGAGAGCAGGCAGGTGGGAGGGTTGCCAGAAACGGGCGTGGCAGAGACATCAGGATGTGACCACTAGGAAGATCTGTGGCTGAGTGTATAGCCTTTGTTGGGTTTCAGAGCATGTCCTCCTACGTGCCCAGAGTCCAACATTTGGAGGTGTTGAAGGAGATAAAAAAAATACGTGAAAATCAACATGTTGAACGAGGTCCATTTCGAGAGTGCAAAGCACAAAGACAAACTTTTTGCTAAAAGAGGGGTGTCTTCTGATGAGGTAGCGCAAGGGGTCCTACTGATAAGGTGGCCTTGGTGGGGGGTCCCCTCCTGATGAGGGGCCACTGCGGTGAAGTGGCCTGAAGAGCCTTGCAAAGGGGGGAGGCAATCAAGTTACTTTTCAGTAGATAAAAGCAAAAGAGTTACACATCTGGGAAAACAATTTGTATCATTTTGTCCTGACCTTACCTCCTTTGACCACGCAGGTATGATGCTGGAAGGGATGGCTTTATTGACCTGATGGAGATGAAACTCATGATGGAGAAACTAGGGGCCCCCCAGACCCACCTGGGCCTGAAGACTATGATCAAAGAGGTGGATGAAGACTTCGATGGCAAGCTCAACTTCCGGGAGGTAGCTATGGCCTGCTGAGCCGGAGAAGCCCCAGTCCACAGCCCCTGAGTCCAAATGGCTTTGCCTCTTGAGGATGCTCTTTGGATGGATGTTTAATCTTCCACTAAGCTTTTAATCGCATCTTCTGTAAACTGTGTGGGTGAAATGTTCCTATAATCCCAGCACTCCAGGACACAGAGGAGGATCAGGAGTTGAAGGCCAGCCTCAGCTACATAGTGAATTACATGAGAACCTGTCTCAAAAAAAAAATCTTTCATGATAGCTTATATTTGTAATCCAAGTACAAGAGGGCTGAGGCAGGAGGATTGCTGAGTTTCTACCTGTGAGCCACTATGCCTAACTTCTTATATAACTTTTTTTTGGTGTATATGGGTTTTATCGGGAGACTTTGAGATGTTTCAGTTGGACATGATGTCATATAACTCATGACAGCATCCTAATGACAGGATGATAGAATTAGACCATTTTCTGTTTTCCTATTTTTCAGCCAGGCCCTTGGGATTAAGAGCAGTACTCTTAGCCACTGAGCCATCTCTCCAGCATTCTCTCTCCTGTTTTATTCAGAGGCCACCCTTGGATGATCCACCTGAATCTAAGCTACTTGGTCATCTTTCGGTTAGCTTTAGTGTGGCCATTTCTCACAGAAGTGGACATCCAAGGCTTGGAGACCTCTAAAGCAGTTTTGCCAGCTCTTGGTCCCTGTAACAAATTCCAATGACATTCCCTTCAATTCTTTGTGAGCTCCAGATCCTGTCTTGGTCCTATTTCTAGATTGTTCTATGTCTGTGGTCTTGGAAGTGTAAGGACATGTGACCATCTAGACCCACAAGCTTCCCCCTGCTCTATGATTTTCTTTGCTGTGTCTACCCATGGCAGAAGCCGCCTGAGCTTGCAGGCGGACTTCAAGCTGTCAGAGCAGTCTGGTCTCTTGAGAATGTTCTACTTTTCTGGAAGCAGAATCTATCCCAAGCTGGTCTCAGACATGGGACCCTTCTGCTTTAGCTCCCCAAGTGCTAAACCTGTAGCCTTGTACCACATGCCTGGTCACCTTGGAGTGACATAGCCTAGAACTTGCTATGTAGCCTAGGCTAGCTTTGAACACATAGCAATCTTTCTAAATTAGCCTCCTCAGTGCTGGAGATTATAGGCATGTATCACCATAGTCCACTGCTTCTGTCTGTCTGTCTGTCTGTCTGTCTGTCTGTCTGTGTGTGTGTGAGAAAGAAAGAGAGAGAGAGAGAGAGAGAGAGAGAGAGAGAGAGAGAGAGAGAGAATGATAGAATGATATTAGGGGTGGGGAGAGTTAAAACAGGGCCTTAAAAACACTGTTTACAAATTACTATTTTATGTGTGTGAATGTTTTGTCTATATGTACACCTGTTTATCACATGTGTGCCTGGTGCCTTGGAGGCCAGAAGAAAGCATTAGATCTCCTGGAACTGGAGTTACAAATGGTAGTAAGACTCCATGTTGGAACTGAGAACCAAACCTGGGTCCTCCACAAGAGCAGCAAGTGCTGTTAACTGCTGGAGCCATCTTTCTATTCCTGAAGACAGGGTCTTACTTACATAGTGAAGGCTGGCCTCAAACTCACCATGTAACTGAGGCTGACCTTGAACTCCTGATCCTCTTGCCTCTACCTCCTAAATGCTGAGATTACGGGTATGCACCATCACACCTTGATTTTCCCTTAGGGGTTCTTTTTATTTATTTATTTATTTTACTTTATTTACTGTATGGGACATATGTGCCTCCATGCTTGTGTGAAGAGCAGAGGACAACTTGGAGGAGTCGGTTCTCCCCTTCGACTGTGTCAGTCCAGGGCTTGAACTCAGGTCGTCAGTCTTGGCAGCAAGCACCTTTACCTGTTGAGCCATCTTGTCAACCCTTGGGTTCTTGACACATCCTTTTTCTATAGTGAATTACCTCCTGTGTCCTAAAGTAAGAAATTTATGTCTGTCACTTCCAAATGAAGAGCTCTAACACAGGAAGTATTCCGTGTACACCACTATCATGTCTCAGGACAGCATCCGCGGGCTTGTGATAGAAAGAGCTTCTGCACTGTACTAGCTCCCTCTGCCCTCAGCCTTTGTTCCCTACCTCTTCTTCCCTCCCCCTTTTTCTCAGAGACACAGCTCAGACGTTTTCCAACTCGACACCATGCCAGTCTTTGTGGACTATAAATAGGAAAACAAACAAGGTTGGGCAGTGAAGGAGACTGCAGTGACTATAATGGGTGAAATGGGAGTGCCGGGTATGCAGGATGCCTTCGGGTTGAACTGGATTTTCTTTTTCTTTTTTGGCTGGCTGGGGTTAGGAGACCCCTGAATTACGATGGGAGGGGGGTTGCTGTTGGTCATCTAGCAGAGTGAGATTCTGCCGTCTGAAAAGTCCTGGATTGGATTCATTAATGTTTCTGGTTCTTAATGTCCTTCTGTGGATATGAGCACTATCGCCTCCACTTACGTTTTTAAATTTTTGTTTTGTTTATTTTGTGTTGAGGGAAGGGGGGATGCATGCGTGCCACAGCACACCTGTGGAGGTTAGAGGACAGCTTCCATCATGTAGGCCCTGGGGACCAAAAGTAGGTTGTCAGTCTTGGTGACAAATCCTCTGAGCCATCTCACTAGCCCTGCCTTCACTTTAGAGTTGAGAAAAACGGGAATGGAGAGTCCCTGCTGAGTTGGGAGAATGCTCCCACTTTCCTGAGTCTCTGAGAACTGTTGAGAAGTGTTGCTATAGAAGGTAGCTCTCCTTGTGGGGACCTCCAGTCAACGAAGTACTTTAAGGACAGCTAGGTGTTTGATTTCTTTTGTAATAACAGACTATCCCAGCCTGGATTATTTAGAAAGAAGAGACGTTTGTCTTGGCCTGCAGTTCTGGGAGCCCAAGGGCATGGCACCAGCATCTGCAGAGCTCCTGGTAGAGGCCATGTGCAGCCTGAACTCAGGTGGAAAGCACAGGGCAAGTGTGGATGAAAGATCGTCACAGTGAGAGAAGAACAGGAATACAGAGCTCCTAAGGAAAGCATCCCCTCTCTCAGTGGCCTATTTGCCTTCTGAAGGTCACCACCTCTTAACACTTTTGGACTAGGGACCAAAGTATCATAGGAGCCAGGTGCTGAGGGGAAGGCATTTATTCCATCCACAGCTCACACTTGCAGTGCTGAAGTCTTTACTTGGTCCATCTCTTCACGAGAGAAGAGAGAACCAAGAGAAACGCGGCAGTCTCCACTGTCCCCACCCTCCAGGCTTCCATCCAGTTGCTTGGGGCCTGGCCTCCACCAACAGGCTTGGTTTCTCTCCAGCCAATGTGCTGGCTCTAAGAGCCTGCTGCAAACTGAGTCTTTGCCGGCCTCTAGTGAGAGAGTTGGAAGCTGCAGGTGGATGAATGTAGCATTTCTGTTAAATCTAACAGCGGCAGGGACCTCAGAAAACTCCCCATACATCTCACTTCGTCTCTTGGGTTAGCATTCACCAGTGTCCACAGCAGAGTGAGGACTGAGTGAGAAGGGCAAGCACAAAGCAGGCTTCCTAGCAAAGAAGAAATTGTAGCCTTGAGAGCTAGGACACTGGGTTGAGATTTTGGAAAGTCTGTTGAAATGTTAACTGTATTCCAGAAAAGGCATTTTTAAATTTTTTCCCCTTTGGTTTTTGGGTATTTGTTTTGTTTTGTTTTGTTTGAGATAGGGTTTCTCTGTGAAAATCCTAGAATTCATTCTGCAGACCAGGCTGACCTTGAACTCACCGAGATCCACCTGCCTCTGTCTCCCAAGTGCTGAGATTAAAGGCATGCGCTACTACCGCCCAGCAGAAAAGGCATTCTTTAGGGAAGACGGCTGTATTTTCCCTCTACACAACAAGCTTTTGGTCGAATGTGAAAACCTGGAGAAACCTCTTTCAGTGGTTTGGGCCCATCAGTTTATAAATGGGGGGTGGCAGTGTCCATAGAAATTGCACAGTGCTTAGATAAATCTGTAATTTTTAAAACCTTATTTGTTTTATGTGCATAAATGTTTTGCCTGCATGGATGTATGTATACCATGTGCATGCCTAGTGCTCAGGGAGACCAGGAGGGGGTCTCCAATCCCCTAGAACTGGAACTGGAGTTATCATGGTTGTGAGCCACTGTTCGGTTGTTGGGAAAGAACGAGTCCCCTGCAGGTACAGCATGTGCTCTTGCCATGAATCCATGTCTCCATTGCCACCCCTTTCAACTTGTAGGTTTTTGTGAGGGGAAAGCCTGAGTTCAACCCTGGGGACACACATGGTAGAGGAGAACCAAACAAGTTGTCCTCTGATCACCACATGGCATGCACGTATACAAAACAAATAAGATGAGATATGGGGATTTATTTTTTAGTTCACAGGTGTTTGTTGTTTGCTGTCTGTTTTGTTGTGGACTAGAGTTTCATGCTATAGCCCATGCTGGCCTGAAAGTTTTGGCAATCCCTCCTACCTCAGCCTCCTGCTGCTGCTGTTACGTGTGTGAGCCACCATGCTAGCTTTATAAAAAATACTCAAATAATTAGAAAGTAACCCAGGGAGAGAGGGTCAGGTAGAGGAGAGACTGGTATTTAAAAATGTATTTGGTAGAAGTCCTAATACAATTGCCCTCCAAGATTACTGTGTTCAGATGGCACATTTTGAATGTGGAGGAAGACATTGTGGATTACACAATAAATGTGGGGCTTACTAAGTAACTATTTGGAAGAAAATAAGGTTAATGATTACCCTCGAAATAGAACAGAATACATTTCAGAGATTAAATATTTACATGTTTTAAGGAAAAGCCATAAAAGTACTAGACAGAAACATGCCTGACTGTTTATGTAACCTTGGTGTTAGGGAAGGTTTTCCTAAGCCTGTCTCTGGTAAGAGGAAAGAAAAAGATTTGGCAGATTTTGTGTAAAACTTTTCGAGTCAAAAGATGCCACAAAGCGGTGGCACACGCCTTTAATCCCAGCATGCCGGAGGCAGAGGCAGGTGGATCTCTGTGAGTTCGAGGCCCGCCTGGTTTCCAGAGCAAGTGCCAGGATAGGCTCCAGAGCTACATAGAGAAACCCTGTCTTGAAAAACAAAAACAAAAACAAACAAACAAACAAAAAAAGATGCCACAAAGAAGGCAAGAATGGTGGCACACACCTGTGGACCCACTCAATCCAGAGGCCGATGCTGGAGAATCAGTTGAGACAACACAGCAGGATCCTCTCATCTCAAAAGTCAGTGAACAGAGCTGGGTGTAGTGTGCCCTATAATCCCAGCACTCAGGAGGCCAAGACAAGCAGATTTCTATGAGTCTGAGACCAGCCTGGTCTGCATAGTGAGTTACAGGATAGCCAGGACTATGTAGAGGAACCCTGTCTCAAAAAACAAAAACAAAAGTAATAGGGCTGGGGAGGTGACTCAGTGGGCAAAGATGCTTGATGTCAAGCCTGCTGACCTGAGTTGGATCTCAGGGACCCACATGGTGGAAGGGCAAAACTGACTCTTGCAAGTTATCCCTCTGACCTCCACATGTGTGTATAAACAAATAAAATAACCATAGCCACTGCCTACTTAAATGACCAGTAGCAGAGCTAGCGCATTTAAAATATACTAAGGCCTACAAAGGTCTCTTAGTAAACCACAAGAAAGGTAAGCCGTCTCATGAAAAACAGAACACGTGGGAAAAATAGAAGTGGCTAAGATATTCAAAAGGTGGGCAGGGGAAGAGGTGCATTGAGGCTCAAGTGGGTAAAGGCCAGGCCTGATGGCCTCAGTTTGGTCTCAGGGACTCACATGGTGGAATAAGAGAACCATGTCCTGAAAAGTGCCCTCTGACCTCTGCATGTGTACCATGATATATATATATATATATAGCTTGCATGCACAAACATGTGAACACACATACATACACATTAAGTAAGTAAATAAATATATGCTTTTTAAAAAAATAAAATAATTAAGTTGGGGCTGGGTGTGGTGATAAAGGTCTGTAATCCTAGCACATGGGAGGCAGTGGATCGTTGTGAGTTCAGGACCATTTACACACTCCTATTTAAAAAAAAACAAAACAGTTATTTAGTTAAAAAATAGTGTATAGGGAGCAGGGAAATGGCTGGATGGATAGAGGCTCCAGGTGTACTGGCGCAGCAGCCTGACAACTGAAGTTTAATCCCTGGAACATGTGTAAAAAACTGGATGTCTTAGCACATGTCTGTAATCCCAGCATTCCTATAGGGAGATGGCAGGTGGGGACAAGAGCATTGGTGGGAAGCTGGAGGGCCAGCTAGTCTTAAGTGGACAGGGCAGAAGCAGAAACATGACATGGCAGACCCTGTCTAAAAAAGGTGAAAGGCAAGAACTGACTCTGGCCTCCACACACGTACGGTGGAATATGTATGCCTACACACACACACACACACACACACACACACACACACACACACACCCCACACACCACACACACAACACACACACCACACACACCACACAACACACCACACACACACAAACACACCACACACAATAAATTGAATGAATGAATGAATGAGATTTAGACATATGCCTTTAATCCCCACACTCAGGAGACAGACAGACAAGTGGATTCTATAACTTTGAGGCCTTACTGCTTTATAGATAGCCAGTTCTAGGCCAGCCAAGGCTACCTTACTCAAAGATACAAAGACAATCAAATAAATAAACACTAGGATTACAGGCCAATACCATCAGGTTTATGCAATACATATTAGGGATTGAATTCAGGGCTTTCTACCAACTGAGCTACTCTGCAGCTTTATTGTGTGGATTTTTAAGGAATAGGTTCCCAACAGTGGCATTACTGGATGGGAAAGAGAACAATATTTTTTTTTTTGAGACAGGGTTTCTCTGTGTAGCTTTGGAGCCTATCCTGGCACTCGCTCTGGAGACCAGGCTGGCCTTGAACTCACAGAGATCTGCCTGCCTCTGCCTCCCAAATGCTGGGATTAAAGGTGTGCGCCACCAACTCCTGGTGTGAGAGAACAATATTTAATTCAATTAATTTATTTGGTACTGGGGATTGGACTCAGGTCCTTACACATACCAAGCATTGCTTTACCACTGAACTATACCCTTAACTACCATCACTATCCCCCCCCCCCCATTCTCTACAGAACAAAATAATTCTCCATGCATACATAGACATAAATGTCCTTTCCAGGTAGGAGAGATGTCTAAGAGTGTTTGCTGCTCTCGAAAGGGAGCCAAGTTTGGTTCCTAGTACTCATATGAGGTAGCTCCCAGTTTCCAGTAGCCCCAGCTCCAGGGGTCCCAAGGGCCTCTTCCAAAGTCTATGGACACCTGCATCCACACATGCACATCCTCCCCTATGTGCATATAATTAAAGAGTAAATCTTAGGGCTGGAGAGATGGCTCAGTGGTTAAGAGCACTGACTGCTCTTACAGAGGACCCAGGTTCAGTTTCCAGCACCCACATGGCAGCTCACGACTCACTGTAACTCCAAGATCTGACAGCCTCACACAGACATACATGTAGGAAAAACACCAATGCACATAGAATAAAAATAAACAATACCCTTTTTAAGTTCTTGGCAAAAATGTCAAGGCCAGAGGGATTATTGCAGATGTGTTGGTGTGGCTGTGGCGTGGAGAATAGCAGTAACCCTCGGGTCCCTCTCCCTCCCACAGTTCCTGCTCATTTTTCACAAGGCCGCTGCTGGTGAGCTGCAGGAGGACAGCGGGCTCTTGGCATTGGCCAAGCTTTCTGAGATCGATGTTGCCCTGGAGGGCGTCAAAGGTGCCAAGAACTTCTTCGAAGCCAAGGTAAGTGTCTGTTCCTTCCCTACCCAGCCATTACTCTTCCTTTACCCTGTCCCGGTGACAGGCACTCCTTGTCCAGTGACGCACTAGCTCACTCAGGACAAGGCTGTACTAGGAAGTGAACGTGTGTCCTCACAGAGCACAGAAGACATCTGGCTCAGGAGGGTTTGTTAGTCCCAGGCTCCAAGAGAGACTCTCCCTCTAGACCTTGAGTTACTTCCACAGGCCCCGCCTCCCTTTTCTTTCCCATCTCAAACATCTGGGTTGGAAGGCTGGAGAAAGGCTGCTCTTGCAGAGGACTGGAGTTCGGTTTCCAGCACCTATATTGGGCAGCTCACAATTCATCTAACTCTAGTTCCAGGGAATCTGATGTCCTCTTCTGGCCACTGTGAACACACACACACACACACACACACACACTGAGGTGCCTCAGTGCTTATACTACTTTTCCAAAGGATTCAAGTTCAGTTTCTAGCACTAATATTAAATGGCTCGAAACCATCTATAATCCTAGCTCTAGGGAGATTCAACAACACCTCTGGCCTCTGCAGGCACCTAGATTTACATGCACGTGTGTCTTGTACACACACACACACACACACACACACACACACACACACACTAAACAACACAGACAGGAGAGCCTCTTCACACCTGCTGCCAAGCAGAGCAGAGTCCAATGAGATGGGTTCGTCACTCCCACCCCAAGCAGGCAGCCCAAGAGATCTGCCTCCCTCCTTCACATTGCTATACTGGCCCTGTTTCCTCTTGTGCCACAGAGGCACAGGCAGGATTAAATGAGCTTGCATGTATAGTGTCAATTGCCTGGCTCATGGAGAGCAGTTAGCACGTAGTCCCAGCCATCAGGATTGCATGCCATCTGTCTTCAGTCAGTTGCTGGCCCCTGGGGAATTTTGAGTTTCTTCCATTAGTTTACCTAGGACAGAGCAACCTTGGTGACATCCTGGCCTGTTTAGAGCTCGGAACAGGACTCCATTTTCACTTGTCTATGAAGCTGCTTAGACTCTGTTGGCAAAGACTAGCCAGAGCATTGACCTCTGAAATCAGGAAGAAGGGGATAGAACATTTGGCCTTCCTCAGGGGCCCACACAGTGTGGGGAGGAAAGTCAATTACTTGTTGACACAGGGGGGTGGGGTAGTGATGAGGAAGGGGTCCCTTCCACTGTGATGGAAACGGTCCATACATTAGTGCCTTCACATTTGCAGTCTCTTGAGACTTCTTGGGAAAGATCCTAGGGCTGAGGCCCAAGAGTAGCAGGGCAGTTCACTGCCAAGGTATACTGAGCTAAATGCGCTAGGTGAAGCACGTGGGTCCCTGGGACTGTATCATCTGGGCACGCAGGACCTGCCATGACTTGCCTATGATCCCTGTTCCAGCCCCATCCAGTCCTTCAGATGCTGTTGGAAATTTTCACAACTGATCCTCAGAACCTGTGGCTGTCTTTGCCCAGAGCTCCACCCCAAGGCCACTGTTAGGAGAACTCTACTCCTTTGGGACCACCTTTTAGGGCAGCCCACTCCTGCCTATCCACTCCTGGAAAGGCCCCTCTCCTGAGTGCAAGTGGCACTGTTTTGTATCTGTTCGAGCTGCTCTTGGACACTTACAGGGAGAGTGTCAATCAATCTGTCTGTAGAGCAGTTGATATTCTGCCTCTGGAACATCTCTCTTCTGAGGCGCTTGCACACTCAGTAAGGATTTACTGTAACACTGCTAGGGTTGATGCAAACTGGACACAACTTAAACTTCAGTTGTCAGAGATGAGCCCATCATGGCATGACCATATGGTCACTCATTCTGTAGCCCTCAAAGATTTGAGACAAGGCTGTGTCATGTGTGTACACAGATGTCCAAATTAAATCAAGCAAAGTAATATGTGGACACCTGACTTTAAATACTGAATACGGCCTAGATAATTACATATGAAAGTATTAGTAATAGTGATGTCAAGGGACTCATTTTATACTTCTGTAGTGTTGTAGAATTAGTGTGCATTATTTTTATAAGGAGAAAAGATGAAACACACAAAACAATAAACTTTTTCCTACTTGCTGTGTTTATATGTCTGCCTCCTCAGCCAGACTCAAAGGCAGAGTAGGCGTGTTATCTTTGTAATTACAGCGCCCGGTGTGTAATGGCCCTCAATAAATGTTTGCATGAATGACGAATGGGGGGAAGCACCGCTTGGATTTGGGAGAGGCCGTAAGGCAGATGACACTGGTAACAGATGTTTTGAGATGAATGGGGATTCACCTTGTAATCAAGGAAGGGAGGCATTCTGGTCATGGGAATTCCAAGTGAAGGCTCCATGGCATGGAGGGCTGGGAGTCCTGGAGGCCAAGGAGAGAGGTTCTGGTCATGGGAACTGCAAGCGAAGGCTCCATGGCATGGAGGGCTGGGAGTCCTGGAGGCCAAGGAGAGAGCATGGGGTTGTGGGAGGGTGAAGGGATGGTGCCTTAGCAGGGAAAGCAAGCCAAGAAGCAAGTATGGAGACTAGGAACTAGACCACCAGTTATGAGGTAGGTGACTCTGAGATCAGATGGTCCCTGGCTGAGGGACACCTGTAGACCGGCCTCCCATGCCCAAACCAGGTCTCTTTAAAACTTTGTGGGTGCATGGGGGTTGGGGGAGTTGTCAAGAAACAAGTGGTTGATCCAGCACTGCAGGTGGCATCAGGTGCACCCAGGCTGGGATAGTGCAGGCAGCCTCAGGAGCTGGAGAGCCCTCAGAACTGGTTGGGGAGGTCTGACACTAGGAGGACAGATGTCCTAGGAGAGGTTTCTACAGGTGCTTGGGGAGGAGTATCAGTTTGCCAAGCTTTGTGGCAGTGGGACCAGGGACAACATAAAGGCACACAACTTTAGAACTTCTGTGCTCGTGACTGTCACCTTATTGGGAGTTTGGGGAAGGCCAACATAAGGTGTGCATTGAGGAGGGGAGCTGAGATTTTTTTGTATCAAGAAAGTCCCTCCTCCAAGTGGGAGTGGTTTGAGGAGAAAAAGCAATAAAGTGGGCTTTGGTGTGAAGTCTAAGATAACTTCAGGCACAGTAAAGACATGAATGAGCTTGATGGGTATGGTGATGGCTGCAAATGGTCCTCCAGTAATGGCCACAAAGAGGCTATAAAAATATCCGCCCGCCTTTCTTGGAGGTCTACGTGTCTTGCTGTAAAGATGGATCACCACCATTGACAATGGCTGGAATGTGACTGTCCTCATAACCCCCTCCTGGGGTGGGGTCAGACTCCATGTGCCAGGTGAGCTTCCCATAGGAAGGAAAAAGGGAAGAAATATGGTCTATGGGCATCCAGTAACACAGAGGGAGGAGCCATCTTCACAAGTACGTATTGAAACAGCAGGAGAGTGGCCGAGAGTGGATTTTCGTGGTGACTGGACTGCAGGGGAAGCTTTGTATTTATGCCTTCAGGAAAAAGATGGAGTCATCAGAAACCCAAGGGAATGCTGGAGAAAAATGCTGCTTTGCTTGGACAGGAGTGGTTTGGGCTTTTTAAATTTTATTTTTTGTTAATTATGTGCAAGTATGAGTCTGTGGCCATGACTGCAGTTATCCAAAGAGGCGAGAGGTGTTGGATGTCCCTAGACTTACAGGTGGCTTTTGAGCCTTCTGATGTGGGTGCTGGGAATAGAACTCAGGTCCATGTGGAAGAGCAGTGTGTGCTCCTCCTAACCTCTGAGCCACTCTCCAGCCCTAGCAGTTCTCTCCTTCCACCATGTGGGTCCAACAGATTGAACTCAGGTTGTCAAATTTGGCAACAAGCAATTTGACCAGCCCTCAGAAGAGATGTTCAGGGGTCAGATTCACCCTATTGAGTTGATTGCATTGGGATGGACCTAGTAGGAGGAATCCTGAGAGCCAAGAACTCATTGAAGATGTTGGAGCAGGTGAGACAGCAGGTTGGGGTTAGGTACGAACATTTTTGTTTACTTTGCAGACTCTGAGAGAAGTCAGTATGTTTTCCTACCAGGGAGAAATTGTCTAAGAACCATGGAAATAAAAGATGACTGATCAGATAGGTCATGGGGAGGAGGTTTAGGGTCAGGGATGGGTTACAGAACCAAGAGGCAAGATTTGTGATGGAGGAGATGAAAAATTCCAGGGTGAAGAATGGAGGAATTCCCTCCCCTGCTGTCCTAGTTAGGAATGGTGGAGAGGGAGAGAGGCGTCAGGGGTTAGTATATGCCTGAATCCTTTTATCTAGACTACTATGTATGGAGTTCATCTGTCTGGGCTGCAGGAGACCTTGTGTTAAAAGCACAAACTGCATATGTTTCCCCTGTTTGCTATAAATTCTACAAATAACATATTTTACATTGTATATCATGCTTCTCATAGATATACAGGGGAAGCTTTTTTTCTGGACTCTTGCATCTGTTGCCAGATTGTGGTTGCAATGGACAAAAGAAAGTAGTTTCCAGGGCTGGAGAGAGAGCCTCGGTGGTTCAGGGTACTGGCTGCTCTTCCAGAGGACCTGGGTTTGACTCCTAGCACCCACATGGCCATTTACCTGTCTGTAACTTCAGTTCCAGGGCTTCCAAAATCCTCTTCTGGCCTTTGCAGGTAGCAGACATGCATGCAGGGCACAGAATTACATGTAGGCAAAACACCTAAACACATAAAAATATGATTTTTTAAAAAAATAGTTTCCGTGTGAATGTAGTTTAAGGTAATTCATAAAAAAAAAAGTGAAAGCATGAATACTGAACCTCAGGCTGGGTTTGATGGTGCATGCCTGTAATCCCAGTCCTTGAGAAGCTGAGGTAGGAGAGGCTTGCTGCAAGTTTGAGGCTAGCCTGAACTATAAAGCCAGTAAGCACCAGGATTGCCAGAGCTATGTAGTGAGAGTGTGTCTCAAGTTGGGAGGGTGAGATAAGTGTTACAGCTCTAAGAGGAAAGGCTTCCTGGATGAAAGTGTTGGGGCTATGAGGAGAAAGATTTCCCCAGTGGAAGTATTACAGTTCTGAGAGGGAAGTTTTCCACAATGGAAGTGTTGCAGCTGTGAGGGGAAAGGTATCCTGGCAGTCGGGAGCCAAGGAATACCACAAAATCACACTGCACGACAAACCTCACACAAGAGAGTGACTTGGGTGAGAAGCAGCTGGGAACTGAGCAGGAGACAGGCTTATATAGGGTTTCTTGGCAGGGTGGGAGGGGTAGTTTTCCAGGGTGGGGGTTGGTGGGATTTCAAGTCCTGAGCTTGAGGCAAATCCAAAGATTGATAGGTTTTTGAGCTCAGGAATTGGTTTTTTTGTTTTGTTTTTCTTTGTGAAACACTAGCTGTCCTGGAACTTGCTCTCAGGACCAGGCTGGCCTTGAACTCACAGATCCACCTGCCTCTGCCTCCTAAATGCTGGGATTAAAGGCATGTGCTACTGTTGCCTGCCAGATGGTGGGGTTTTGAGCTCAGATATTGATAGGTTTGGATGGGTTTTCAAACCGGGAAGTGAGCCTCGGACCTTTTACCCTGGTTGGGTGGGGGCTTCAGAGATGACCCAGTGGTTAAAGTGTTTGCTGCAGGAGGGCCAGAGTTCAGATCCCCAGAACCCTTGTGAAGCAGGGCTTATTAACACACATCTATAATCCCAGTACTCTGGTGGAAAGAAGAGAAGTGGAAAGAAGCAACCTGCCCCCCAGAGGCTAGCAAATCAGCTAGCTTGAATACAGAGAAATGAACAAGAAAGAGGCCTTGTCTCAAACAAGGTAAGAGTGAAGACCAGCACTTGAAGCTGCCCTCTGACCTCCACACACATGCACCACCAGCAGAGGGAGAGACAGAGCAGAGAGAGGCATACTCAGGCAGAGAAACACACACACACACACACACACACACACACACACACACAGAGGGGGTGGGGGAAGAGAGGAGGAAGAGGAGAAAAACTACTTCATTTCTTGATGTGCTAAGCAATTTCTTACGGATGATTTCAAGTGCCAAAAGGTCATCCTCTCACACTGCAAAGGCAACAGACAACACATGTTAAGTTTCACCTGCATTTTTAACAGGTGCATTTCCCAGTGCACTATGACAAGATTGTGTAGACAGAGACACTAAAGGCTAAATGTGTCATGTTGGCTGTTTCCTGTGGTGTAAATATTCACACTGAGGCTGGGTTCAAGCTCTCAGTGGATTGTGGACCCATGTGGAGCAGGGAAGCTGTTCACAGTCATCACTCCATCACTCGCTGTTCCCACGCTGGAGGCACAGCCGTAGCAGATAATAATAAAATGGACTGAGATCATCAGAATCTGACGGCCCTTCAGTTCTCAAACCTTTTGCTTTTGGTGTAGTTGACTGCAATTTAAATTTTTTTGTTTTTTTTGTTTTTGATGGTTTTTCTTTGGTTTTTTCAAGACAGGGTTTCTCTGTGTAGCTTTGGAACTCGCTCTGTAGACCAGGCTGGCCTCGAACTCACAGAGATCCACCTGCCTCTGCCTCCTGAGTGCTGGGATTAAAGGCGTGTGCCACCAATGGCCCACACAATTTAAATTTTTATAATGACTAATTTTATAAACAGCTCACAGACATTCCAGGAATGAAGCAGTTGGTTTTTGAGCAATTACAAGCCAGCTCCAGCATACCTGAAGGTAGTGGAATCTCTGTCTTCTTCCAGCTGAAAGAGGGAGACATGGGAGGGTTCGGAGACTACCATGAGAAGAGAGATTAGGAAGAGGGCCATTGAAGACCCAGCTCTGTCCGGAAATCCCAAGTCCCAATGGATCTAGCCACTATTTTTTCTTTTTTTTGTGGGGGTGGTCAAGACAAGGTTTCTCTGTGTAACAGCCTGGGCTGTCCTGGAACTCACTCTGTAGAATAGGCTAGCTAGCCTCCAACTCAGAGATCCACCTGCCTCTCTCTCCCGAGTGCTAGGACTAAAGGTATGCACCACCACTGCCTGGCTTAGCCACTGTTCTTATGAGTGGTTTTCGAAAGATTTATTTGTTTTTATGTATATGAGTGTTTTGTCTGCATATGTGTGTGTGTGCCCACCATGTGCCTGTAGAGGCCAGAAGAGACTGTCCAGAATCCTTGGAACTGGAAGTTCAGAGGGTTGTTAGCTGTCAGGTGGATGCTGGGAACTGAACCTTGGTCCTCTGCAAGTGCTAGCCACCGAACCTTCTCTCCAGGTGGAAGAGATTTCTTTCATTTACTTACTATTTATGGCAGTGAGGGTGGGTCCTACCGAGGTGGCTGGGCAGATGCGAACCTCATGCCAGGCAGAGTTGAAGGTGTAGTTGGCCTTTTGTGTACATGGAGGAGTTGGTTCCAGAAACCTCAGATGTGAACATTTTTATATGTTCAAGCGGGGCCCTCCACCCCCACATCCCATATAAAACGGTACATAGGGCTAGAGAGATAGTGGAATTGGCAAAGCACTTGCCTTGCAAGCATGATGACATGAGTTCAATCCCCCGAACCTATCTGAAAAAGAAGCTAGGCATGGTGATGTGTTTGGATCCTCAGGGCTCCCAAGCCAGCCATCCTAGAGGACTTAGTGAGCTCCAGCCTAAAACAAGGTGGACACCTGAAGAACTACAATCAAAGTTGTCCTCTGGCCTCTGCATGTATACCCTCACACATACACACATGACATAAAAGGCAAGGGTAAATGGTTGATAATAAAATAGCCTTTGTTAAAATCACATACACCGTGTGCCATTGAGAGATGGTACCAAATATGTAAACCACAGGAAAAAGTCAGTTCTAGAAGGGAGGATTTTGAAATGGTTTGAAACCTGATAAGGCATCATTATAATTATGATTGAAATATATCTCATGTGTCCCAGGTTCTCTTCAAACTGGCTATGGAGCTAGGGATGGCCACATACTTCTGGTCCTCTGCTTCCACCTCCTGAGGTCTGGGATTACAGGCTTTTGCCTGTACATCCAGTTTTATGTGGTACTAGGGACTAATAAGGGGCTTCATACATGCTAGGCAAGGGCTCTACCAATTGAGCTGTATCCCAACTTCCTGATATGGTATTATTAAAGAGAAATCATTAAGTTAAAAAATTGTGAAATCCACTCACAACACAAGCAAAAACATGTTGATTTATTTATTTTTATTGTATTTAATATGAAAACTGGATCTCATACTGTAGCTCTGAGTGGCCTAGAGCTCTAGATGTCTAGATTGGCCTTGAACTCAACACTGTCTCCTGAGTGTTAGGATTGCAAGCATGAGCCACCACACTTAGCTAAACTTTTAGTGTTTTATAATAGATGTTACCAAAGCAAGCCAAAAATGTATTATCTAGAAGTAAATTTAGAATGACTGATTGATAGAGAAGTTTCAAAAATGTGTTTCCTTTTTGTGGTTACTGAAGATTGAACCCAGGACGTCATGCATGCCAGCTAAGTCCTCAGCCACTGAATTATATTCCAGCCCAGAAGTAAAACATTGATGGGAACACAGAAGCAGCATTGAACAATAACTGATGCATTGGGGCTGGAGAGAAAGAGTATGGCCTGCTCTTCCAGAGGACCCAAGTTTGCCTCCCAGCATCCACGTCATTCAGAAAGCTATTATAAAGATTCCCCTGGGCTGTGGTGGCGCATGCCTTTAATCCCAGCACTTGGGAGGCAGAGACAGGCAGATAGATCTCTATGAGTTCGAGGCCAGCCTGGTCTCCAGAGTGATAGGCTCCAAAAGCTATACAGAGAAACCCTGTCTCAAAGAACCAACCAGAGACTATGCTCCAAAAGCTATACAGAGAAACCCTGTCTCAAAGAACCAACCAGAGACTCCCAAGTCATTTACTTTTGTTCTTCCACCTAGAATGTAGCAATGTTTAAAAAAACATTTTTATTAATTCTTTGATAATTTTATACAATGAATTTTGATCATATTTGTGCTCCAGCTCCTCCTTTAATTCTTCCCAAATCCATCTCTTCCCCTCTACCCCACAACTTGCATCCCTTAAGAAAATAAATGCCGGGTGGTGGTGGCCCATGCCTTTAATCACAGCAGTAGAGGCAGAGGCAGGTGGATCTCTGTGACTTTGAGGCCAGCCTGGTCTACAGAGTGAGTTCCAAGACAGCCAGGGCTATATAGAGAAATTTTGTGTCAAAACAAAACAAAACCTAAAACAAGCAAACAAAAACCTTATTAACTCCAATTTTTGCTAGCCATATATTTCTGGGTGTGGGGCCATCCACTGAAGCATGATCGACCTACTAGGAGTCACGCCCTTAAAGAAAACTGACTCTCTTTCCCAGAAGCCATCAGCTGCCTATACATCTTCAAGGATGGGGGGCTCCTGAACCCCATCCCCCTACTCTACTCCATGCTAGGAATGGTGCCTGGCTTGATCATGTGCAGGGCTCATGCAGGCAGCCCCAGCTCCCACTCTTCTGTGATTCTCCCTGAGGCTTGGTAAGGGAGTATGATACAGGTGTCCCATTAGCAACAAAATTCTCCATAGTTGCTTATTCTCTACACCTCGATCAGTACTGAGTTTCTGTGTCTACTGCCCTCTATCTGGTGCACAAAGAACCTTCTCCACTGAGGTCTGAGAGTAGCACTGATCCTGATTCAGGACTGGTCCAAGAGAATGTAGTGATATTGTTGTGAAATCAAAGGAATGCAAATGTGGGCAAGAGTTTTCGGAATTGGCTTCATAGTAGAGCTGGCCATTTGTTCAGATTTTGCATGTCCACTGCAAAGGCTTGGGTGCCAGCATCCCCATACCCTTCCCTGCCCTTACTGTGTCATCTGTTTGCTATTTCTCTGCAGGCCCAGGCCTTGTCATGCTCTAGTAAATTTGAAGCTGAGTTAAAAGCTGAGCAAGATGAGAGGAAACGGCAGGAGGAGGCCAGGAGGATCCGTCAGGCAGCCTTCCGGGAGCTCAAGGCTACTTTCAGTGCATAGACCGGTTGACCTGACCCAAGAGCACAGCTGTGCCTTAACTGTCACCCTGGAGGAGATGACTACAATGTTCACATTTTTACCCCTGCTGCCCTCTGCCTGAATGACCTCCCCCTCCACACCCCAGGCCTGTTTCTTAGTGCCTCTGATAACAGGAGACTACTTTCATCCTTCCCAAGGTCCTGGCCTCCTCCAAAGGGTTGCCAGCTGACCTTTCCCACCTTCACTCCTTTGCCATTATCTGTAGTGGAGACTTGTTTCTTCTAGGAAACCACCCTTGTCCCTGCGTGGTTCTGTGCCCACAAGTCCTGTTCATCTATGGTCCTCAGAGGACATGTTGACTGTGGGTCTCCTCTGTGGTCCCTGCATTGTTTCCTGGCCACCGTCTCTCTTGTTGTCACTATTCAGATTCCATTGACTTTTTTCACCATTTTCCATCCTAGTGTGATGGTGGGATTTGAAGAAGGACTTGTGGATCATTACCTATCCCCTCTCCAACTGGGGACTAGCTTGTGTCATGTTGCCTGTCTCCTGGCCCGTTACAGTGCCCACCTTCTCATTCCCCCATCCTTTTTCTTCCCATATCGTCCATTATCCTACTCCTAAATCCTTTACAGTAAGAATGAAAGAATTGTTGGAAGTAATATTAATGGGCAGAAGGAGATCTGTCACCTGACTCCATGCAAATCAGAGAGGACCCCTGACATTCTCAAGTGACACAGCAAGATCTTTTGAAATCCCAGAAGTCGTGACCATCCTCTGGTGTCTGAGACCAGCTCCATGGAACTGAGGAAAAGGTACTGTCACCTGTGGGACAAATTTTTGTATCTTGTGAGTTCTTGGGATTTCTCACAAATACCAGGGGGTTGTATTTTTTAACAAAATTCCCAATGTCATATTTATTACTTCTCTTTTGTAACTGCTGTCTTTACAATAAAGAAAACATCTGCCCTTCTGTCTTACAACTGTTTCCTTTTAAATAAAATGTGCAAATGATCTTTGCCTTCATACCAGTATGCCTTTGGTCTTTTTTGAATGAGGAGATGGAAGAATGTGTTTTCTTTCTATGGGTCAGTTCAGCCTTGGGCTTCTGTTGCCACTGAGTTCCTAAAAATATGGGTAGAAATAGGAACAGGATGAGTAGGCTGAGGATGGATGTGGCTCAGTTAGTGGAGTACAACCAACCATGGTAGTGTATTCCTGTAAGTCCAGCAGTCAGGAGACAGATGTAGAATTCAAGGTCATGGTCATCCTTGGCTGTAGAGTGAGTCTGAGGCCAGGCTGAGCCACATGAGACCTTATTTTAAGAAATTAAACAACAAAAACAAAAGTAGGACTGTGACAGTGGATCCCCACTGATGACAGTCACACTGACATTGTCACCTACTCTCTCCTTCCCACCAGTGAGAATGCTTTCAGCTGCTCAGTAAACTGCAAGTTTTCTTTCTTTTGCTGGTAGATCCCTTGAAACCCTTACTAGGTCATGGCTTTAGTAATACCTTGGGCCTTGACACATCAAATTTAACCAATATTTCACACCAATGGCCAGAGGTATATGGAGAGGTATATGAGACCTGAACTTTTTTTTCTTAGTTTCTCTGTAAACCTAAATTTTTCTTTAAAACACTCTATTAGTGACCAGCAAGATGGCTCAGCAGGTACAGGTGCTTACTACCAAGCCTGAGCATTGATACCCAGCCCTACAGGGTAGAGGGAGTGAAACAACTCCCTTCGGGTTGTCCTCTGAATTCTACAATTCTACATGCATGCTTTAGCACATGAATGTCCACCCCACACCCACAGTTCACCCCTTTATCTACCAAGCCTGATACCTGAGTTTGATCCTTGGGTCCCATGTGGTATAAGGAGAGAAACAACTCCACCAAGTCTTCCTAGACATAACTGGGAAGAGGACATATTTTTTTTTTAAGATTTTATTTATTAAGCATACAACACTCTGCTTCCATGTATATCTGCACACCAGAAGAGGGCACCAGATCTCATAACGGATGGTTGCTGGGAATTGAACTCAGGACCTCTGGAATAGCAGCCGATGCTCTTAAACTCTGAGCCATCTCTCCAGCCCCGGAAGAGGACATCTTAAGTGAGAAAAATACCTGTGGAACATTTTTTAAATTTGTGATTGATGCAGGAAGACCCAGCTCACTGTGGATGGTGCCATCCACCCCTGGGCAGGTGGTTCTGAGGTGTTTTAAAAAGCAGGCTGAGCAAGCTGTGTGGGAGCAAGTTAGTAAGCAGCACTCTTCCATGACTTCTGCTTCAGTTCCTCCCTGAGTTCCTGCTAAGACTTCCCTCCATGATGGACAGTGTGACTGGACCTATAAACTGTAATAAACCCTTTTATTCCCAGGTTGGTTTTGATCATGGTATTTTATCACTGCAATAGAAACCCTAAGACAGCCAGTTTGAGACATCCTGGGCTACATGAGACACTGTCTCAAAAACCAAACCAAAACAAAACAAAACAAAAACCAAGATAAAAGCAAAAGTCATATAGGGGGAAAAAATCTTTCTGGACAAACAGGTCAAAGTAAGAGCTAAAACTGTCAAGTGATACAAATGTCCCACAAGAGTTGTCAGGACAAAAGATGACATACATTGGGCCAGGTGGCCACAAAGAGCAGGGGTACCACGTCTTTGTGCCCTCCTAGTAATCCATGTTCGTGTCCTGAAGTTGCTCCCTTCATAGCTGTAACCTCTGGTTCCCAGCCTCCATCTCCAGGGCCAAGGCCAAAACCCAGCCCTTTCCTGGTCCTTCCCTGGGGCTCTACAGTGACCTGACCGGTTTTTCTACTCTCCTTTTGCTTGATTGTCCACTGTTCAACTGGGATACTCTCTGAAATGCAAATCTGTTCCTAGCATCTCCAAAGCCTCCAGCTCTGACCCCTGATCACTTGGTCTACCTGAAGGCCCAGGACTGGACTGGGGAGTAAGTAGTTCCTGGAAAGCACCATACCTCAGCCTCGCACAAGCTGCTTTCTCTGCTCACTTGCACTCCTCCCTCCCACTAGTGATCCGCTTCTTCTTGTTGGCTCAGCTCAGATTATCTTCCAGAAGTTTTCTTATTGCTGCTGAGAGGATAAGGAACACCCTAGGATTCCCTTTTTACCGTGAGACTTTTCTCTGTTGTACCCTTAAGGCTAGTGGGCATTCCACAGAATTTCTCGCTCTACTTCCTCAGCTTCCTGTTAGGACCATGACCCTCTTAAAAGCACACATTTGTTTATTATTTAGTGTCTGTGTGTGTGTGTGCGTGCGTGCGTGCGTGCGTGCGTGCGTG